AAACGCTTTTTCTTTAAAAAAAAGAAGAGGGATTAAAATCGTACTTAAATTCTTTAATTTCTAATTTATTTTATAGATGGCGCTCAAGTCTTTATTTTATTTTGCGCTAAATAGAATTATTTGTTCCCTAATGAAGAAATACCCTAGCATACTTCTTAGAAATGCACAGAATTTAAAAAATCAGCATCAATTAAAGTTGATTTTTGCCAAATTATAAGTTTCAAATTTGATTGCCTCTCCTTCATAGAAACTGTCCGATGATATCATTTAAATAATCAAGTATGCCTAAAGTATTTTTATGAAAGACAGGCGATAGAGGCTCTGAAAATACCAACCAGTTGTTTTCATTCAAGCACCAGTAACAGGGCAAGTTTTGTAAGTTATTCGACCCTAGTAGTTTCGATTAGCTGAGACTCTTTTTTCAGGAATACTGATAGGTACTAAATATCTTAATTATCTTCTGTCCAAAATACAAGGGGACCCTTACAGAAGGCATTTCTATGAAGAACCCATAATTGATTCATTGTTCTCACACTCTTTCTGTTAATTACTATCGGACTTGTTTTCTATCTATCGGACCACTGGTGTTACCAATTTTATTCTTCTGATGATTGCAGTTTCAGAGCAACTTGATAAATCAGTCGGCTTTAGAAGAGCGTTATACGGCATTCTTTCTATTTTTATTCGCATCTTTGAATTTTTTAAAATAGTATGTTAATTTAAGAAATATTTCCTGTGAGACTGTGAGTCATTAGTAGCTTCGAATCGATGAAAGTCAAACACCGCACTTTCCTTTTTTCTGTTCTTTCCCAAAACATGCCGTGAATTGCGTTTGAAATACTGGCGAAAAAGAATAATTATTTCGGATAGCCAATAACTAAAGATTTACTATTTTGCTATTAGAGTAAAATCCCATTATCAGGCATCCAGCACACCCAATGATCCAACATGTGCCGTCTTGGTGAAGAAAGCAGAATTGATAATCTAATGATTCCAAAATGCTTCTTTCAACAGTTCTCTGGTCACACGTCCAGAAGACGAAATTTGCTATGTAGAAAGTCAAAGATGAACCAATTATGAGAAACTCCATTAGGTTAGAAGTGGAAAGTGACGAAGAAGGTTAAACTAATATTACTTGGAGTAAGGCAACCAAAGCATTAAAAACGTTTTATAAAATTTATAGAGAGTAGTAATCACAAATCTTTGTAGTAATCTTCTTATTCCCTTCAATGATATTTTGACAGGAAATTGGACTTTCGAAGTTTGTCACCATCGAACAGCAAAACAGTAAATTCCAAGAGGTAAACCGGTTAAGAATAATAATTTATGCATATTGTGTAGCTTTTCTTCCGATGCGTTTTCAGTCATTAAATGTATTTTCTTCATTTAAAAGTTTTGCATTCTTGCAAAAAAGTTACAAAATTGTTTTTGCCACATTAACCTCATAATTCGGTCCATATTCGATAATTCTGCATTATTGAAATCCTAAACCTGGCAGATTATCGAACTTCTACTGTTTCGCTTTTACCCTCTGGTGAGTAACTTTATTTGCCAACCATCTTCCCGTGAATCATCGCCTGGTGTGAAACAGTTGAGAAAAATATCGAGTCTACCTGCTAAAGAGCCTGCGTAATGTTTCACTCATTACCATGGTAACCAGAGAGATCAGGATCGAAAGGAGAGCAACAGGCTAGTTTCAATGCCTCGGAGGTAAATTAAGATGCTCACAGTTTCTTCGAGCTAAAGAGCCGCATACGGCAATGCGTAGTTGTGTGCCATTTCTGTTATTTTTACGGAGATATTTTAAGAGGGAGCGTTATTTGATACTTTTAATATCACATGACAAGAAACTCGTCAGTGGAGCGTGTTTCGCCGTGTTATTGAAATGGTCTTTTATTTAAGGATTTATAATTTGGAGGTCATAATTTATATGGTTTTTCTTCGATCATGAAATTCTATGCACGTGTTTTCTTAATCTTTTTACTATTAGGAGTTTTTTTTTTTTTTTAATTTAGTTTTATTTCTGTACAAAATTTATCGCAGCTTTTAATACTCTGTCACGCTTAATCAACTGAAGATTTAATAATAAAAAAGAAAATTTTCAACGTGCTTTAGAGTAGAAATTTTCTGTGCATACTTATATTTGATCCAGTTTAAAAGCTTTATTTTTGGGGCAGTTTTATTTCTGTTCTAAAGACACCTATTCTAATGCAGTTTAACAGGATGCATTGAAGAAGCATAAACTGACCTTTTCTGATTTAATTTCGTTTGTGACTTTTGTTATAAGTCTTAGCAAAGTTCCAGTGTACATTAAATTAACCAGTATAAAGCACTTCCGCCCCCCCATTTCAAATAAAAAATGGCTTCTTAGGAAAGTTACTATAGCGTTAAAGCTTTTTTATTTGGAAACGAAATTGAAGCTTAAGCGATCTTTCTTGAAATCGTGTTTTTTAGTTTTTCATAAATTTTAGTAAATTCTAATAACTTTTATTTACTAAAATGCATTTATATTCTACAGAAACTTGTCGCCTTCGATCGATCTCCTGAAAAATTTTATTATAACTGAAGGCGATGGTAAGCAGTTTTGATGTTGTGTTAAGAATCTATATCTAATGAACAGATAAATATTAGAGCCTATGAACAGTTAGGCAGAATTTAATTACTATCCGTTTTTCAAGCTTTTCCATTGCCAAGTTCATGGACCGAGTTTTTGTAGATGAGTATTTATTTATGTTCAGCCGGCTTAGTATCTAAATAGAATGTAATCCAAGCAATGCTTTTCAATCCTGTAAACTGGAAGCAGGGGTTTGCTTTACGTTTATTCCTGATCCGTTTCATAGGTCTTTTGGTTATGTTCACGGTTTCAGAATGAACAAAGCATTTCTTACACATTATTTAAGTCTGTAGCGAATATTACTGTTACTCGCTCGGAAATTTTGAGTCGACTTTCGCCAGTCATTTTGATGCCTTTGGTGTGGAATCCTGTAGGATGAGATCTATGAAGATAATCTTATAAATCAGATAGGCGTCGCTTAACTAGGCGGCATTTTCGGAGAAGCCTACGCATCACGTATCCACTGTGTCCACAAAAATCCTTATCTTATCTTTATTTTTGCAACCGTTGGTCGTAGACATATACTTCCAATTGCAAAAATGTTTTAAAAATGACGCAGATATTCATGTTTTGGCAAAATCGTAATATACGAGTGAGCTGCAACTCTCTTAGCCGATATTAATCGACCTCATGGTTAACACTAGAAGCGCCGTTGGTGTCGTTTTGACCTTTTTTTTTTTTTTCCAATTTTCCTTTTTTTTTTTTTTTTTTTTTTTTTTTTTAACATACAGCTGAGTTTCGAAGCTGATATTTTTTTTACTTTTTCTAAAATGTTTTTAAGTATACTATGCCAATTTTTCATATTTCTACGTTAATTATTTAAATAAATAATCGCAGATATACCTAAAACAGCGAACTGGGCTCATTTTGACCCTCATAAAAAAACGACATATTTTTAAGCGAATGTCCGTTTTCGAATTCCCGATGCCACGTTTTCTGCGCATTTCTACGCAGCTCTTATCGCGATGACTCGGAGAAAAATAAAATCCAGAACGGAGCATATTCTCTCTCCATTGCAATGCCGAGAGGAAGAGGATTGAGTACACAAGAGTGCCTTGCCCTCCTTGAACAGTTGGAATCAGATATAAGTGGTGATGATAGCAGTGATAAAGATTTTAACGTTGATGTGAACTTACAGAATGCGTCGCTCTCTGAAAGCAGTGATAGTGATGTCGAGGACAATCTGGAAATGTGATCCCTATAAGTCGGAAGCTCACGTGGACGTACGTGGTCGTGGTCAAGGACGAGGCAACAACGTTGCTGGCAGCAGTAATGAGATGTATACCTCATCCAGCGATATTCTCTGGACCCCTATGAACCTTAGCAGCATCGCTTCCACTTCAGGTCGCACGCCAGCTCGAAATATTGTAACCACTGTAAGTGGACCAACGTCGTTTGCTGGTCGTAATATAGGAACAAATCCTGCTTCAGCGTAGCGTTTGATGGTGAGTGAATCAATGGTGAAACACAATCGTGTACAGTTGCTGAGGCACGACGCCAACTTAGAGATGATAGTAACTGGCATGTTACTCTGGAAGAACTTGATGCCTTTTTTTGCCCTTCTGTATGCCCGTGGAGCACTAGGCCATTCAAAACTTTGTGCAAATGATTTGTGGAACAAGAATTGGGGACCACCTGCGTTCAAAGAAACAATGTCACGCAATCGGTTCCGTGAAATAATGCGGTATCTCAGATTCGATGTCCGAAGCACCAGAGCTGATCGTCTCGCCACTAACAAATTTGCTCCTGCTTCTGAAACCTGGTACAAGCTAATGGAAAACTGTTATTTATGCTATAATCCTGGACCAGAAATAACCGTTGATGAACAGTTGTTGCCTTGTAAATCAAGATGTAGATCTATCCAGTACATGGCGAATAAACTGGACAAGTTTGGCGTTTGGCATCAAATTCTGGCTAGCAACTGATGTAAAATCCAAATATGTTTTGAATGGTTATCCTTATCTGGGCAAGGATGAAGAACGACCAAACTAATTTACAACTTGGGGAAAGTGTAGTTCTCAAATTACTGTAACCACATCTAAACTCCGGACTCAATGTCACAACTGACAATTTTTTTTTTACTTCTGTGAAACTTGCAGATGAACTTTCTGCGAAAAAAAAACCACAATTGTCGGGACGATGCGTCTGAATAAAGGCGATAATTACCCCCTATTGCTCGTGACACTTTTTCGGCACGATATTCATCTTTTGCACTGAAAAAATGGAAGACAAAACACTCACAATATATAGGTGCAAGAGCAAAAAGAATGTCGTGATTCTGAGCACGATGCACAGTAATGTGTTTGTTGACGACAGCATAAAGAAAAAACCGAACACTGTCACGTACTACAGCAGTGCAAAATGTGGCGTTGATGTCGCAGACCAGATGCTGAGGAAATATAGTACAAGTAGTGGAAGTCGCAGGTGGCCTGTACATGTTTTTTACAACGTCCTTGACATTGCTGAACTCAGTGCTTGGATTATATTCAAAGAATCCTTGGGCACCTCTATTTCTCGTCGAGAATTTATTCTTGCACTCGTGGAAGAACTACGAGTTGGTGCACTATGCAACAGATGCCCCCCGATTGCTCAAATACGGACACTTAAACGAAAGAAATGTGCATTTCAAAGTTGCAAGGGACAAAACAAGACTGTTGTCGGTTGTGAGGGATGCCAGAAACCAATTTGTGGTAAATGTGTTGCTGTCGCTGTCAGCGTTCATATTGTATCACCTGCGGTAATGTATAACAAACTTTGGAAAACATTGTGTGTTTATTCCCAATTTAAGGGTTTTTTTTTTTTTTTTTTTTTTTTTTGTAATTTTTTGCATATGTTCTATTTTTCCACTTTTTTCATCTGTATCTTTTGTTTGTTTTTCATAGATTTTGTTTTTGCAATCTTACATTGAAAGATATTGTGTGCTAATTTGCACTAATTGCACGAAAAAAAAAATTGTAAGTATAAAAAATAAATAAAAACCCTCTAAAAACTCTTTTATGTGATCATTTCAGCATCATTTCAATCATTTACTGTGTTTCTACTTACATTTCTTATGAGGGTCAAATTGACCCCAATGGCGGTTTTTGGTTAGTCTGAAATTCGGCTTTTCTAGTGTTAACGCAACTCACCCAACACACACTGCTAAAAAATTAAAATATATACAGTTACAAATATCAAATTTAAATTCCCAAAACTCTTCTTTCACCGTATAAACTCATCAACTCCTTTGCAAACTTAAAAATTCTTTCTTGTGGCCACAGAATTCCTTTATGTTGCCATGTATTTTCCCTAATGTGTCGCAAAAATATGCAATATTTGACGAAACGTCGTGCATCGCCTTCAGTATCACCCAACTTACAGAGGTTATTATTTTGCAAATTAAATCTTTTCAGGTACACCGGAAAGCGCGTATGCCCAGTAATTATTTGATTGTACTCAATATCACGTGTTATCCTCATATGTTTAGAAACTTCAAAGTTCAAAAGATAAGCTTTCTTTTTGTCCGAAATGCTCCATTGTTCTTTCCAGCAGTCGTAATAGAAATCCTATATGGCATGGAGTGTATAATGAATTAGATGTTGCTACTCATCATGAGCATTTTAGGGCGTACCGTATGTTAGCTTTTCTAGCAGCAGCCATACTGTTTCTTAACCAAGCGATGGTGAATGTAAATAAAAACAATGTTTGGAATCATTTATTTTTTAGATGGTGACATTTTTAGCTAAATATTTATCCTGCAATGAATACCGGAAACTGTATGTGGTAAAAACCTGCGCCGAACTCATAGAAGCAGAGCAATTCAGGTGGTAATCCTTAAGAATTTTCCGTAATCAAATGTAGAAATAAATATTCATGTCAGTGCTCAGCAAGAGTACGCATTATATTGCATTTACATATCTTTCATTTAAAATAATACTTGTAATATTGATCATATTTCGATCAACATTAGAGACATTAGACAATTTTTGCGAGCTATGGATTCATGGATGTCTGTAAATAATCTCTCCAGATGAGCTGGATAGACAATTTACTATAAGTAAAGTAGTATATTAGAAGGGAGTTTTTAGTCCAAAGGGGCTTTGTCTCTGAAGGACTATTGTTTTCGTTTTGCGATTTTGCGTCGATTCGCTACAAACGGCGAATCTCTTTTCAAACTGTTGCCATAAACTATTATCGCCCTGCGTTATATTGGGTTTGCAACTAAGTAATTGCGGATTTCACTCGTAGATGGCTTCATTTGAATTTTTAGGGTTGCAGACGTAGTACAAATGTAAAACACATTTTGTTATTTGATAGTTGGCAGTTCAGCTGTCAATCAGTAAAAAAAGTTTTTTGATCGGTTACGAAGTTTTCGTTTGGAGTTCGTTGAAAAATGGAAAATCAAAAGGAACATTTTCGTCATATTTTGCTTTTTTATTTCCGCAAAGGAAAAAACGCATCGCAAGCTCATAAAAAGTTATGTGCTGTTTATGGTGACGAAGCCTTAAAACAACGGCAGTGTCAAAATTGGTTTGTCAAATTTCGCTCTGGTGATTTTTCACTCAAAGATGAAAAAACGCTCTGGTCCGTCCAGTTGAAGTTGATGACGACCTAATCAAAGCAATAATCGATTTCGGATTCGCCACAGTACAACAACACGTGAGATTGCAGAGAAGCTTCATGTATCCACATACATGCATTGAAAATCACTTAAAACAACTTGGCTATGTTCAAAAACACGATACACGGGTTCCTCACAAAACTGAAAGAAATGCATTTAACGCAACGCATTAACAGCTGCGATTTGCTAAAGAAACGTAATGAAAATGATCCATTTTTAAAACGACTGATAACTGGCGATGAAAAATGGGTTGTTTACAACAATATCAAGCGGAAAAGATCATGGAGCAGGCCAGGTGAACCAACTCAAACAACATCAAAAGCTGATATTCATCAAAAGAAGGTTTTGTTATCAGTTTGGTAGGATTACAAAGGAATTGTATTCTTTGAACTCTTAACCACCCAACCCAACGATCAATTCTGATGTCTACATTGAACAACTAACGAAATTAAACAATGCAGTTGAAGAAAAGCGGTCCGAATTGACAAATCGAAAAGGTGTTGCATTCCATCATGACAATGCAAGGCCACACACATATTTGGTCACTCGGCAAAAATTATTGGAGCTTGGTTGGGATGTTTTGCCACATCCGCCATATAGTCCTGACCTTGCACCATCTGATTACTTTTTGTTTCGATCTTTACAAAACTCCTTGAATGGTAAAAATTTCAATAATAAGGATGATATCAAATCGTACCTGATTCAGTTTTTTGCTAATAAAAACCAGAAGTTTTATGAACGTGGGATTATGATGCTGCCTGAAAGATGGCAAAAGGTCATTGATCAAAATGGGCAATACATTACAGAATAAAGTTATTTAGTTCCATGAAAAAATTGTCTTTGATTTTCTAAAAAAAAATCCGCAATTACTTAGTTGCCAAACCAATATTTAAACAAATTAAATAATGAAAAATCTGCGTAAATGTATAAATATTTCTCGCATTGTAATAAAGCAACGGTACATAGAGCCATCGAATTTTGAATGACGTAATCCTCCTACGAATATGGGCATGCGGAAGACCAAATTTGGAATTTGATTTATTATCGATTTCCTATTTTGTAAAACTTAAAAAAATTTTTGATTAACAAACTCAAGGATTTCAAAGGGAGCAGTGGCAACGTTGTACAGAAAAAAAGTATTTTTATCTCCAGCGCGTGAGTCTTTTTATCGGAAATTCTAAAGGAATCGCTTTATTTTTAAACTATTTTGCGATATTGCTGTTGAACTGAATTTTATGGTTTAAGTGCGAAGAACGTGATATTTAATTAATAAATGTAAGACACAAAATGTTAAAAAACGCCCCTTTGGACACAATTTAAAATCTGAAACATTCCTTCCTTTTTTTTTTTTTTTTTTTTTTTTTTTAGTCCAAAGGGATTTCAGTCCCGAAGGACTATTGCTTTCGTTTTGGCATTTTGCGTCGGACTCATAAACGTCGGTTCACTTTTCAAACTATTGCCACAAAATGTTAGAGTCCTGCATTATATTTGAAGAAATTAAATAATGAAAAATCTGCATAAATGATTGTCTATTTCTCGCATTGTGATAAAACAATGGTACATAGAATTTACCATCGAATTTTGAATGACGAAATCCTACTGCGAATATGGGCATCTGAAATCCCAAATTTGGAATTTGTTTTATTATAGAGTTTATATTTTGTAAAAACTTTAACGAATTTTTGATTTACAAACTCAATGCTTTAAAAGCGAGAAATGGCAAACATTATATAGAAAAAAAAATACTTTTTATCTCCAGCTCGCGAGACTGTGTATATCGGAAATTCTAAAGATATGCTTAATTTAACATTATTTTGCGATATTGCTCTTGAACTGAATTTTATGGTTTAAGTGCAAAGAACATGATATTTAATAAATAAAGGTAACACTCAAAACGTTAAAAAAAAAAAACGCCCCCTTGGACGTAATTTAAAATCTGAAAAAAATTTCAGTTTTTTTTTTTTTTTTTTTTTTTTTTTTTTTTTTTGTCCAAAGGGGCTTTGCCTCTGAAGGACTATTGTTTTCGTTTTGCGATTTTGCGTTGGTTTACTATAAATGTCCGTTTCACTTTTCAAACTGTTGCCACCAAATATCATTATATTTGAAGAAGTTAAATAATGGGAAAAAAAAAAAAACTGAAAGGTTTTAGATTTTAAATTACGTCCAAAGGAGCCTTTTTAAATATTTTATGTGTTATATTGATTTATTAAATATCACGTTCTTCGCACCTTAAATCATAAAATTCAGTCGAAGAGCAATACCGCAAAATAATTTTAAATTGAGCTTATACTCGTATTTTGAATTTCCGATACACAGTCTGAAGCGCTGGAGATTAAAAATGTTTTTTTCCATACAACGCTGCCATTGCTCGCTTTGAAATCCTCGAGGTTTTAAATCAAAAATGAGTTAAAATTTTACAAAATAGGAATCGATAATAAAACAAATTTCAAATTTGTGCTTCCAGATGATCATATTCGCAGTAGGGTTATGTCACTCAAAATTAGGTGGCTCTAGATACCGCTGTTGTATCACAATGCGAGAAATATGCATACATTTATGCAGATTTTTTATTATTTAATTTCTTCAAATATAATGCAGGACTCTAAAATTTGGTGGCAACAGTTTGAAACGTGAAACTGACATTTATAGTGAACCAACGAAAAATTACAAAACGAGAAAACAATAACCCTCAGGGGCAAAGCCCCTTTGGACTAAAAATCTGCATAAATGTATGTATATTTCTCCGATTGTGATAAAACAACGGTACATAGAGCAATGGAATCTTGAATGTCGTAATCCTCGTACGAATATGGGCATGTGGAAGACCAAATTTGGAATTTGTTTTATTATCGATTTCATATTTTGTAAAACTTTAACGAATTTTTGAGTAACAAATTCAACAATTTAAAAGCGACCAATGGCAACACTCTAGATTTGTTGTGAAAAAAGTGCAAATGCTTATCATTATAGGAAGTATTTAGAAGGACGTATGGTTCAAAGAAATCAAGATGAATATAACTCATGTTTAATTTTTTTTTTTTTTTTTCTATTTGCATGAAGCTGGAACGAATATGCTTATAAATGAAGTGAATGTCTGTTCAAATAAAACTTTGGTTGATTGTAAGAATTTTTTGGAG